AGGTGGCAGGGAATTCTGAACACTTTATTAGCCCATTAGCAAATGTGGATTCCTGGGCAATCAATCTTTAGGACTAAAATAATCTTAAATTATTTAGTTATATTTACTGATTAAAATATATAATCCAGTTATGTGTACAAGATATGCGTGAAATACATTCATGAATTATGAAGCCAATTAACAAGATGTATTTTCTAACAGAAAGGATTGATAGTAATAACAAACTGTTGCAAAGGACACATCAAACCAAAATGAATCCTTTTTTCTCAAAATTCTGAGAATGTATTTTCCAAAGCTGTATGTTACTTATTGCATATTCATGCATGCTACATACTGCATGAGATTCATAGTTTCTTATCTCAGGCTTTTGTAATGCATGTCACCTTCATACCAAATTAGAAGTATTTCAGTCATGTTTATAATTGTACAATGCAACATGATAGGAATGCAAGCTTTCATTTCTTTCCTCAAAGGAATGAACATAACACACTAAAGCGAAATGCTGCAAAATTTAATTTCCTTCTTCTGAGTAGATAGAACACAGGGCAAATCTTTCAGCACTGATCTATTTCTTGGTTTATGCTTTCCTCAAATTCCATTGCCAAAGCTAACTTGCAGATCCCATTTCTCTTCTAATCTCTGAACAAACTGACACATAACCACCAAGGATGCACAGCTTTGCATGTGCACCCCCTAACTCAGGGTCCTGCTGCAATATTTTCTATCATAACTAACACCTCTTGAATACTAAAGCATACTATAAAACTTAATCATGTTATGGATGTGTAAAATTACACACAATATCTTAAACCTTTATATGAGTGGAGCCTGAATTCGAGTCATCTAACTTCAGCTACCTAAAGCCTAAGCATTGTGCTCCCACAGCCTCCCTCTGTTCTAAATGCTCCTTTTCAAACGCTGAATAGAGAGGGCCCCACAAAGAGTAATTTACCACATCTATTTTAGGATGAAACCAAACACTTCATTTTCATATAGTTACTTCTGGGACAAATTTTATCTTGTATTAACAGGCGGAATTCTCAAGCTTGAAAGCTTACTTCTAAAAGAACATGAAACCATAGAAATTAAGAAGCAAAATCTATGGGTTGGCATTCTGTAATCATAGAGGCAACTTGGATCTTATACTGATAAATTAAAGGAGTACATAAGAGTTAAAATACATATATTAATATTTTATATCTTTTGTGAGTTATTTTTCTTTAAGATAATGACAGCAGCAAAATTGTTAATCGTTGAAAAAAGAAAATAATGCTTGAGTTCAAGTCTAAAATACTTCCTACTCTGCTGATTTGCTGTGTTTCTATTTAGCTCCATGAATCTCTGTGTAATCTAGGTAAACTCATAATGTCGCCCACAAAAGCTGTGGATGCCCCATCCCTGGAAGTGTTCAAGGCCAGGCTGGATGAGGCTTTGAGCAACCTGGTCTAGTGGAAGGTGTTCCTGCCCCTGGCAGGGGGGTTCGAACTAGATGGTCTTTAAGGTCCCTTCCAACCCAAATCATTCTGTGATTCTATGATTCTATAATTTAGGGCCTTTTACTTCCTTTGTTGGCCAGAGGCCAGCAGCTCTGCAGTGTAATTAGGAGGAACAAATCTGTGTATATTCCTGTAACACAGTTCCCAGCTTGGTTTACTATGTTAACCCACTCGTGTTTTCTGCTGCAGTCAGTCCTGGGCAGTACAGTCACTACTACAGGCTCTGTTATGGAGACAGTAATTCCTGGCACAGAAACATAGTGAAAGTGTCTGGTGGAAGAGAGACTCCCACAAATCTGGCAAAAGGCAGCCTCTGCAGATGTGCACAGTATGCTTTTAAGTCATCCCACTAGTAATCAGTGTGAAACACCTGCATGAAAATCAACAGGATTAACTGTAAGAATACATGAGTCAAATCCTGACTGCAAAGGTCCATAGGTCCACCCCCCTTATGTGAGTATGAGAGAATCTGCCCCTTAGTTATCTTTATGTCTCCACTGAGACCTCTGCCTACATGTCTTCTAAATACCCTATGTGATTCTGATGGACATTTTAATGAAAACTTGTAATCACATCAATGCTGATCAATAGGTATCTCTAGAGTTCATCTAGAGCAATCCTCAATTGGCTGTTGCCAGTAATGGATCTGGCCAGCCACGGCCATCTGGACAAATCTTGAACACTACCAAGGATGGAGAATCTGCAGACCCTCTCAGTAACCTGTTTCAGTGTTGCACAGCCCTCCTGGCAAAATTTTTTTCCCCACCAGTGTTCAACATGACCCTCTCAGGCAACAATTTCTGGCCATATCACCCTTGTTATATGACCTGATACAACAAGGACATCGCCTTGGTAACTCTTTGTCATCTGTCATGTTCGTAAGTGCCCTTCAAAAAGCTTCAGTCTCCTCTTTAACTGAGTTCAGCTCTCTCAGCTTGCCTCATTCATATGCTATGCATACTTTCTAAAGCTGAACTTCATGGAACTTCAGGTAAAGAAATGGGAAAGAAATTGAATGCACTGACTTATGAAAGGCAAGTGTTATTTAAAGAAAAAAATATACTGAATATTCTGTGTTTTATAGATTAAAAAATATACAGTTGAACATAATTTCTTTGGCATCTTTCATTTACATTTAAAAACTAGGAAATTAATTTTAATCATGCTTGCAGGTAGAAACCTTCAGTCCTGAAAATAATTATTCACTTTTTTAATGCAGTTCCGGTTGTATAAAGAATAGTGTCAAACCCAAGAGAAAATATCACTGGGTTTTAGATTTAAGGAATCACATATAATAATATGCTCCAAATTCTACTTTCTATATGAAAAGATAGCATTATCTCCACTGGAGGCAAAGGGCCAAACTGCCAGAGGGTGAAAATCAGTCTGGCATCAATATTGCCAGTTAGGTGGTCTTATGTGAAATCTTCAGCTATTTCCATGGAATTTTTATAAATCAGTGGATTTAACCTGGAAAAATCAGGCTGAGTAGGAACTCAGAAGTGGAAACCCAAAGGTCATGATAAGAGCTATATAGCCATTCTTATATTTATGTAAATATAGAAAACACTCTAATAAATTCTGGTATGAAGGAGCATGGCAGCTCCTTCTCTTAGCATGTAACCATTGAGATCTGATTTAAATGCTGGTTTAAGTAATCACTTAGGAACAGAAATATCTTTGTGAAGGAAAAGAAACAAACTCGTAAACTCAAAATACTAAAGTATCATCTCTCACAGATCCCTACAAAATAAGAACTCACCCTGCAGATTAAATTTTACAATTTTTTATTTTTACAGCCTGGACTGAAAACGTCAGTTTTGATCAACAATTTTGGGATTTAAGCTCATATAACCAATACAACATGAATATCAATTTCCAAGGGCTTAGAAAGTTGCCTTCAGTCTCCAGTATGACTACAGATTCTCATTACTCAACAATACCCTGACTAGTACAGTGAGCATGTGTGAGCTAACAGCCAGTTCAGAAATTGCTTAGTTTAGGAGTTTTGCTTGAGTTATGCCCCGGTTCCTGAGTGCTTATTGAAAAAATATTAATAACTTAATTGGGTGATTTATAGATTGATTGATAATTAATCTAGAAATTTAAAAGAAGAATATGTTAGTTTTTCTCTCTTGGTCTACATCAATGTTGTAGCATTTTGTGTTGTGTCCAAATTAAAATCTAATGCCTGTTTTGGGAGGATTGCTCAAAAGGAACTTTATGTTTTGCTGTGAGTCATGTGAATTCCTTCCAAAACCAAAATGAAATGAGAAGCAAAAACTTGTCAGAGATTTGTGATCTTTTTAGGGCTTTTCTTCACATTTCAACCTTCTATGTCATCCATTGATCCAGGATTGGCTGTTTTCTTTCAAGGTCTATTTATGTCTCAAAAGATTTTTATGTAAATCTTGAGGTCAATATTGATATATAGCAGGATAAAAATCTATGGATTTATCACTAAACTAATAAAGTCCAGGAAATTAACTTTGAAACATCAACTCAATTTGTTTTGAATTAAAAGGCTGAAGTCTGATTTTTTATTCCTAGTTAATTATTGTGACAAATGTGATAACTTTAGAGCTAGAGTTCTTATTTAACAAAGAAGAGGATCCTAATAATTTGTTTTCTGCTTCACTTATATGTTTCCCACTCATTACAGCCTGGTTACCTTGCAGTTTTGCTGCTGAATTGGCTTGCTGAATGCTGAATGGTATGCATCCTTTACGAACATAGGTAGCTAATTTTATTTTCCATTATATATCATTTTCAGATCCAAGCTACAAAAATCAAATAACAATGAGGTTAAGTCTATTCCTTATTCCTTTCTTCCCATTCCTCAACTATGATCACTGCCCTTGAACCACACGCTTAATTTGCATCTTTGCCCTCAGTAACTAATAAGTACCCCAAACTTGATCCTGTTTAGTCAGTTTGCCAAGTCTTAAACTAGGCTCGAATTATTACCTTATTGAAGACGAGGATGTGACAAGAATCTGGTCCCCAGTGCTTATGGGTTTTGAAGATGAATTTAGGGTTAGCATGACTAGAAATGACCTTTTGTATATTGGACTGTGTAATTCTTTTTTATCATTGAACTGTGTAAGCAGATGTCAGAATAGCCAAGGCAACTATGAAAGATTTTAAAGTATATTTCAGAAAATGTGAATTAACATTATTTTTCTTGAAATATTTTTATATAGAAATTGCAAAAAAAAATCTGACTATACAAGCTTATATATATATTATCTTATTGTCAACATACACATTTTCCAGGATGAGGATGGTCTGCAAAATTGAGGGATTTAAATTATAAAGATGTATGAAGTGTAAACTAACCTGTTCTAACATGTATCACAATATCTTCTCTCTTGATAAACTCAGCAGAGACACTGTGCTGGCTCCAAGAAGGTGAGAGACATGCATATTTACATAATACTCACACCTTAATAAATATTTAAATTTTAATATACAAGATGTCAAACAAAATATGCTAAATTTTACCTGCAAAGGCTTTGTAATCCACCAAGTCAAACATTACAATAGCTACTGCTGACCAGGTAACAATCAGAGCAACAACAAGAATCCATGCTGCTGGTGAGCTGAATGTTGTCACAAGGTCTTCCGTTACTGATTTCTTGCCCACTTTCATGGATGATGAGGGAACAGATCCGTTCTTACCATCTATTATTGTCGTGGTTGTAGAGATACGTCCTAGGCAAATAGTCAAAGCAGAGAAAATAGAATGTAACACTTGGAGCCTAAAAAATCAAAAATATGAATATTCTTTTGAAATCACTCTGTGATCAGAATATTTAAAGTAAATGTAAATATTTTATTATTAATGACAGACTCTTGTGCTTTCTAAAAGGAGTTTTTTCTGAACTTGGACCACTTTTGGTAAAGTTAATTTGGGAGCAAACATGGTGAAACAGACACAACCAGCCTTTTGATCATAACGTGACATTTTTTAGTCTGCCGTGAAAAGCTGTAGACCTAGAAGAGTGATTGATGAAACCATAAAATATTATTACTCTCCAAAGGACTGCCTTGTTACGGGCTCTAGGCCAGATTCTCAGTTGATGTGATTAAGTGTACTTCCATTGACTGTAATGGAGCTAATACGTCTACGTCGCTCAAGGTTTGTCTGGACTTCTGCTGTCAAGGACACATATCAGTGGTAATAGGAATGTATATACTCCATTTCATCTAATAGAAACACAACTGATTTACATGTCCACTATGAAAAGATTTGCAGCTGATACTTTTGTTTGTGGCATTTTTCACTTAATTAAATAATCTTCTAAGAAACTGGAGTTACAGAACCAAAGCACACTTAATTCCGGAAAGCATAGGTTTGTTACTAGAAAGGTGGTAGGAAAATGAGTATGTAAGTTAGCTAAGTAAATAGTTGACACACATTAAGTCTTTAATGGATAGTTAAGAGTAGTGACTTAATGTACTTCCTCGAGTATTAAGAAATATTAATTTTGGACATAAACCAAAACTATGGTAACTGAAAACTGACCACATCTAAAAATTCTAAAATTACTCTTCTTCACAAAAGAAAGTGATAACCTAAACAATCTTGGTTGGTATTTCTTTTCCAACAATAGTAAAAATATTCATAACTCCATAGTCAAAAACAGTAGAAGAGCACAGTATCTTCACTTAGCTGAGATTGCAATATCTGCTTGTCAGCTACTATTAAAATATTTGGATATGTTATACAGGTTTCTGGTCTGGTTGATGATCTGAAACTAAACACAGAGATTTGAAATTTCAAGGTGTCAGGTGATGACTGGTTTGCCCATAACTTCACTTCTCAATCTGAGATCACCTATCTTCTGTCACAGCTCATACAAGCTGTAATGTTGGTAGTTTTCTTGTATGACAGAGGTAATGAATATGACAGATCTCCTCTACACAAAGATAACAAGATCTAGCTTCACTTTTCACATAGGAAATGGCAAATCTGCATTTAGAAACTATCATTACAGCTAAGATACAAGGCTGTTGAAGACTTTCAGATATTTGCTGTCACAACATGTATATAAGCCTCTATTTAAGAATCACTATATTGATATTCTTAAGGAAATGAAGAAAGGATTAGATCCTTGATATTACCCATAGGTACATATATTTATCCCTACAACAAAAAGCAGGCGTAGCAGGTCTTCCAATCCTTATGTTAATGAATATTGGGTTTGTTTCTTTTTCTGTAGAAAGTGAGAACAATACTCTAAAGTGATACAGAAATGACCTTTATGTACCTCGTATATATCTGTAGAACTGTGAAAGACAAGTTTGGTATCAGAGGTTCCCTAACTCTTAATCTGTCATATCCATAAGATTGTTCAGATTCATACCTTGAACTATTCTACATTTCTTTTGTTTAGCATGTAGTTCATTGCCTTTGTGCATGTCCCTTACCTCTACCTTTTAAGCTCGCTTCTGCCCAGGTACCCTGACACTGATCGGTGCCTTGCTTCATGCCCCAGAAATCTGCTCTGCTAAGCAGCAGTGTTGTATAAGCAGAACAAGATTGGCATATTACATGCTTTTTGTTACTTATTTGAAATTTAGTCTTATTTATAGAATGTTTATTTTGCTTATGAATAATGTCTATCTGCTAGAATACAATTTATGCTCTTTTTTAATATATATTATAAAACCATTGTTGCTTTCATTTCTCCAAACATAAATTTTGGATCAAACATTTCACAGCAGGAGGAAAAATCTGCCAAGTGACAACTAGCAATAAAGATCAGTTTCCTAAAGCAAAATTCAAAATCAATAGCATTTTGTTATCCTACTGCATACAAAATGCAAGTAATTTGTACATGCAACAGGTCATAAATGACACATTATGCATTTTTTCCCTGGAGGATATCAGTCAGAGTTTATGATGTGTAAGAGAGAATAGAAAGATACTGTCTCATCTTGACAAATGTGATTAGTATCACAGCATTACTTGAAGGACATACTAATGGCAAATATTTGCACAGTGATAATACAAAACAATTAAAACTCTATGTTTGTCTATATATATAGATATATACATATAATTACCATTCAAAGAATCATTCCGCTAGGCCTGTTGCTGTGTAAAAATAGTTCCTTCCTATTCAGTATACCTAACTTCTGCATAGAAAAAGTTCAAATATGCTACAAGGTTATCTATTGCATGCTTTTTGCTGTTGATGTAGCCAAGTCAGATTTCCCTTTAGAAACCGAGGGTGTTATATTATAAAATCACCACTGTTACATTCATTGAAGTGGGAGTGAACAGCTATTGACACAAACTTGACTGGAAGTCAAGCTAAGAAAAATTTTATTATACTGCTAGAAGTTCCCAATGCAGGTGGTTGCAGTATGATTCAGGTGCCTAAGAAAGGTGTCCAGTGTTGTTCTTGATACTTTATGATACTAAAGACATCCTCACATGTCCCTATATGCTAACATAAACAAAATTGGCTGGAAGAGTTTACCTGAGGACTCCTGGGGAAGACATTGTTTGCTACTACATAATCTCTTGTGGGGTGGATTTATGGTGGTATCATCATAGATTCATTACTCCAAAAAGAAGCAGCAATAACACCAAGATGATGGTTCTCCACCCTAAAACCACTCTGTTATTGCAATACCCACAGTGCTATTCTGATACTTTGCCTGTTGTTGCTTTGCAGTGCCCAGGTGTTTTGTGTATTTTTGTCCATCCCCTACCACTGATAAACTCCACCAACTAGACCAATAGAGAAAGAGAGGACCTGTACGTGGGCAATGTTTCCTTCAGTTAAGTCAGCAGTAATTCTCCTTTTTCTCAGAAAAGTGCCAAAGTTAAGAAAAGCTCATGCCCAAGTGGTCCACGGGGCTTCAGGTGCCCAGTATGAAAACGAGAATGATGAGTTTTTGTTGCTGTGAAATCACCCGATGAAGCCTATTGAATTTTACTTATATAATTGACAGAGGTCATTCAGCAACAGGTTAAAACCAGATTCCTGAACTTCTCCAGAAATCCTTGCCACCCATGTAATACAGATGATCTCTCCCAAGACAAATTTCACTGTCTCTATTACAGCCAACTGGAATTCAAGTCAGTTTACTTTAGATGAACACTGCAGTGGATCAGGAGATTCATGAGCAGATCAGTTGTCCCTGCTTTGGGGAGGCAATATCTCTCACAGGAGTGGAGGGTGCAGCTGAAGGCTCTTACAATTTCAGCCATCCAATTTTAATCCACCACCACATCTGCTAGAGCCTCCTGGCACTTTGGGTTGTGATTGCTATTGATTTTCAATGAGGATGGGAACTTAAAAAAGTTGTATATACATTTCTATGAAAAGATTACTTCAGGGATATATACTTCTGACTCCACATCACCATTTCTCATGCACACAGAACTACCCTATCGGGTCACAAATGTCACCTTTACATCAACAGATTGATTTGCTAAATTACAAACAGCTAAAACTCTGAGATTCTTACTATTCCTTTGGTTTCAGAGTTGTCACTTCGGATACAAGCTGAAGACCCACAAGGTCTTGTGAGTGTAAATAAATCTTGACAAGTGGTGACAACTTTGAGGAGAACACTGCACGACTTTCAGAGTCTGGAGTCAGCCTGTAGTCCTAGCAGCTTAGATAGAATACCCTTTGTATTTGTGAGATGAGCTCCCCTTAAGGCATAATAAGCATAGGAGTCCGTGGTTAAGAATGGGCACTTGATTTTACAGTTCAGAAGCTGTAATTTCCACTACCCCAGAAGAAAAATAAAAAGAAACAAACCCCCCAAGCAAACAAACAAACAAACAAAACCCCTACTCCATTCAGACTCATTCACATGTAAAATAGTAATTTTCTGTATTTATGTTATTTCATCATTATTTTATGTATTACAGTCTTTGTTCTGCCAATAGCACCAAAAGAAAAAAAAAAAGTAAAATATTTAATATTAAATGCCTTTTTATGGCTGGACATATTGAAAGACTAGTCATGCTACTAAAAAAAAGAGGTTGTTCCCTTTTAAATAATAATATTTTTGCTAGGGCAATTCAGTTGAGATGTGAGAAGCCTCCATGCAGTCCGCTCTAAATGAGAGAGCTGGTAGATTTTGACTTATCTGTTCCACTCCTCAGATGAGCACTGCAATAAATAGGCTATAGAGTATTCTGGATTCAGGTCATTAATGGCTTCTGTTCGACCTATTCCACTTCATTTGCAATATTTAAATACTAATTAAGGGAGCAGAAAAGAGAAAGAATGACTGTATAAATCAACACTGTAGGTTAAGCCCTGGTTTGAGCCTTGGGTTTTAACCTGGTGACCCCATCTATCCACCTCTGTTGGATCAGGCAGGCAGCAGTCTCAGTCTACAGTAAGGACAATATCCCAGGGAGAAGAGGACGAGGGATTAGAACCCTTCAGTGAAGGACTTGGCAATGGATATGCAATAATTTGCTGCATTTTTTTAGGCCCAGCACATCACCCTTAGTGAGCTCTCACAAAAATCACTTTTTTCCCATGCGGGGAAACTTTTTCACACAAGAAAAGACTATACCTATACCTGTTGTTCAGGTGATAGTTATGCCTGACCGTGGCATTCTCCCCTTTTCATCTCTCCTGTGTGGTTGCTGCACTCTTGGCTTACAAAAATGGAAAGGAAAAGGCAGAATTTCTGCTGTGGCTAATAGTAGCTTGCAATAAAATATCAGTAACTTTTCTTTCCTAAGTGGTCTAATGACTTTCGTCCAGAAAGCTTTTGTCTCTTCATAAGCACGTAGATAATTTCCCAGCACTTCCATAGGCACAGGGAGCTGAAAGCTGTCCACTGGACCCATGTTTTTTGCCTCTCTTATACATTTATGTGGGAACAAAATGCTGAGCAGAGGGAAAAGAAACCCTCAGAAACCCCAGTGTATGCACCTGAACAGCGAGGATTCACTGTCTTAGCCAGCCAGCACCAGAGGCCAAAGGTACAGACACTGGACGGTGAGTAACAGGGAGCAGAACAGCTCAGAGAAAGCAGAGCAAGACAAGTCCAGCTGTCAAAACCTTTTGCTCTCCTCCAAAGGCTGCTAAAGTATGTGATGATAGTGGATTTAAACCTACTTACTATGGGGGATCTGCAGCCCTGGTACCCTTCAATAGATACGGAACCTAGTTAAATCAACTAATATGGATGAAGTTTTCTATTGGACATACCTGATAATTTAAAGGCAAGACTCTTCATAAAACTGATAGAGAGGCAGATGGAAACAGGGAAAGACAACTTAAACCGGAAAATTCAGCTTATTTTTGAAAACTCCTCTCTTTCAACATTACCTGCAACAGTCTCTGTGAGTAGGGAAGTAATCTACAGTTCAGCCCATAAAGGGGCCATGGGCACCTAGTGTAGGTGTTTTGAATATGAAGGAGCTTATGCAAGCTGTTGAGCAGTAATGTGACAATTTTAATAAAAGCTGATTTATTTAGAACTGCAGCATAAATCTTCTTTAAAGATAGCTGACATTCAGGTATTTCTTTTGTTTTGTATCATATTACATCCCAGTACATGAATTAATGCAACTGGAATAACTAAAAGGAAATAATATATAAAAGGAATTTCAGAATTGATACCACTATTTACAGGCTTCTAAATTCATTATACAGAGTACTGATGTGTTGATCTACAGTTTATGTAATTAAAATGCAAAGAGAAAACCCTCTAAATACATATCATGAATGTATTGGCAAACTTCTCAAAATTAAAAGGTGGTCTTTCTACAGAATAAAGGCTTAGAAAGCTGTGATCAGGACTGTGAGGGAACATTTGCCGATTTATTGGTGACTGATAGTTATAAAAATGTAATATTCTTTATGAAATGTGGAAAATAGGGTTGGAGATTATGCAGCAACCAATTCTACATGACAAAAGAAATAGAATACAGATTATGGAATATGGAGAGAATGGTGCATGAAAATTAGCTGAACAATTGAATTCAGAAAAGGCAATTATAATTACATATGGTGCTGTGTACTTTTTTAATTTCCTTTTCTGCTATTATATCTGTACTGGTTTTATTTTTGATCAATAGAGAGCATCTGATAATTTAAAGAAATAAATTGCATTAACCTTTTCCATTCATTCTCTAAGAAATTAGGTACAGCAATCTTTTGATCTCACTGATTTCCATAAGAAGTTTGTAGAATAAAAGATATATCCTACCAAGTAATTTCATTATCTCATTCAAAGAAAATGTGTACTTCATGAAGTATCAGTAAATAATACTAATAGCTGTACTACTACTAATAAATACTATGAAGTATTTATTCTTATTTATTCCATCGTTGGAACTAGATGATCTTTAAGGTCCCTTTCAACCATAACCATTCTATGAAGTGAAAACTAGAAATTATTGATGTTGTATTCCAAGGTGTGATATATATTCTGGGATTGTAGTAATGACTGTTTCTCAGTATACAGAACATTGCCATTTGCTATGTATAAAAAAAC